CAAGCCTGAAACCAACCATTATGCAGTGGTACTCTTCCATGTAAGAAAGAATTGGCTAGGTTATAATCACATTTTGTTTTTCATAACATTAATCTTTAATGCTTTAGAAAATAACAAATTGAAAATGTTAGGTGGTATGTAGAATTATTTTTTCATGGCAGCAAGCTAAATTCTGATTTTATTTATTCATATAACTTATTCTTGATTACTGCTGGTATACACCTGAGCCTGGAAACTAGCCCAGTATTTAGAAAAGACCAGAAAACTTTTCTAAGAGTGAAACAGTAATAGAAACTGACAAATATTAAAGTTTCAGTAGTTTTAAGCTGCAAGTATAAAGGGGCATATGTGTATATATTATCTATAAATCTGCAGTTCCCTGGACAGAGTTGGAGAGAGAGTTTGGAATGACAAATATAACAGAGCACAAGTAAAGGAGTAGAGGATCTTCAGTTAGACAGATGACATGACTTATGACCATAAAGAATACAAAATATAAAGAATATAAGATTCCTGTACTGCAAGGAAGATAGTAAAATTGCTTCAGCAGTCTGGGAAGTGTAAAATATTTACCCTTATGCATTTTTTGCATACTTTTTTGCACCCTTACAGTGTCCTTAAGCTACACACTGTTGTGAAGACAGTGAACTAAGGGATGGGCTAAGAACTCTGGTTTTAAGTGACCCTTTGGTTACTGAATTTTAAAGAGTACCAGTTGCATACAGGAGATAGATTTGAATGTAAACACAGAAGAGAATTCTTGAAATCACCTTGATAGCTACTGCTATAAATGAACCACTTGCGGTGAATTTTCTTTATACTCATAGAATTACATTAATTTCCTGTCAAAATCCACCAAAACATGGAAATAAAAACACAGAAACACCACAGCAAGTATAAAATAATTTTAAAAAAATCTTGTATGAGAGAGATATATATCGTGTTGGGACTTAAGTACAGCATGATGCACATTTCCCAATTCCATTACAGAGTACAGTCTCTCTAGTAAGGAGGTTTCCTCTACAAATGCAGTGAAGTCTTAGTATTTGTAATTTAAAAAGTAAAGTAATTTCTCATAGGCTGCAGTTTTAAGAGTATCATGCTGTAAGACTCCAGAAACAGTATTACAAGGGTTATAATCAGGAAGGTGTTGGATTCTGTTTGTAGGGTGCTGGATGCTGCTTCTATGCCTTTGGGACATCTTTGAAGCAGAGATCCAACAGCTGCTTTTCATTTGCTCCAGTACTAAAAGAAGGTAGTCAGTCATAGTGGGTACCTCATCCTGCTCACACTGACTGACTGGTTCTGTCATATGACTGTACCCAAAGGAGCTGACAGAGACCTTCCTATGAACACACCCTAGCCCACTCACCTAGTAAACTCTTATGAGAGAAACTAAATTCTGTGCCATTCCTGGACTGCTATTTATAATGCAGTTCATCTGTAGTTCATGTGCATGTAATTTATAATGTAGTTCATCTACATGTAAGTCTTGTTTTTATGTTCCTTCAGATAGATTAATCAAATTAGCTAGGTTATTAGTTTGCTGAAATAATCCAAATACTTTTAAAGATCCTGTAAACTGCACAAGTAGATCTACAGTATTTACAGTTCTGTAGTCAGTAATCATGTTCATATTTACACTATAGCTACTAACATATTGAGATCTACTAAACAACCTCAATAGTCTGGATTTCAGGAGTAAAGGCTCCTATAATCATCTAAGAAAGCACAAAGGAAATAAGGTTTCCTATTCACTGAATGACAACTCCAGTTTTTTCAATAAAGTGGAAGTTGATTCCCATGAGACCTTGGGAAGTGATAAGACAACAAGTATAAATGATCTTTTCAAAGGACAAAAAGAGAGGACCCTGGGAACTACTAACTTGTTATCATCATCTGTGTGACTGGGAAGATCATGGGGGACAGGGAGGTGATTTGAGACACCCAGCAGGACCTCACCAAGGGCAAGCCCTACCTGACCAACTCAATGGCCTTCTCTGGCTCCACCAGTGGACAAGGGAAAGGCTACAGATGTCATTTATCTGGACTTCTGAAAAGCCTTTGGCACAACATCCTTCTCTCTAAATTGGAGAGGGAAGGAATTGATGGGTGGACTATCAGAAGGATAAGAAAGTGATTGGTCTATTGCATCTAGAGGGTAGTGGTCATTTGTTCAGAGTCCAAACAGACACCACTGACAAGTAGGGTCCCCCAGGGGTCTGTATTAGAACCTGTCTTATTTGATATCTTCATTAATGACATAGATGTATGGATCAAGCACACCCTCAGCAAATCTGTTGATGACACCCAGCTGAGTGGTGCTGTGGATGACACCTGAAAGATGGGATGCCATCCAGAGGGACCTAGACAAGCCCAAAAACTGTGTCCATGTGAATCTGCTGAGGTTTAACAAGATCATGTACAAGGTTGGGGAAGCCCCCAGTACCAGCACAGGCTGAGGTGAAGACATGGAGAGCAGCCCTGCCCACAGGAACTTGGAGGCATTGGTGGGTGAGAGGCTGGACATGACCCAGCCATGGGCACTCCCAGCCCAGAAAGCCAAACGTGTCCTGGGCTGCATCCAGAGCAGGGTGGGCAGCAGGGCCAGGGAGGGGATTCTGCCCCTCTGCTCTGCTCTGGTGAGAGCCCACCTGGAACCCTGCATCAGCTCTGGGGTCCTAGCACAGGGAGGACAACAACCTTCTGGAGTGCTGATCCAGAGGAGGGTCTCCAAGGTGATTAGAGGGATGGAGCACCTCTCCTGTGAAGAAAGGATGAGAGAGTTGGGTTTGTTTAGCCTGGAAAAGAGAAAGGGTGACCTAATTGCAGCCTTCCAGTACCTGAAGGGAGACTACAAGAAAAATGGAAAAAGACATTTTTTTAGAGTATGTAGCAACAGGACAAAGTGAGTGGACTCAAACTGACACAGTAGCTGTAGGTCATTGGCTCAGGAGAAGGAAATTCCTCATGAAGAGGAAATTCTTTACTGTGACAGTAGCAAAGCACTGGAACAGTTTTGCCAGAAAATCTGTGTATGCTCCATTCCTGAAAGTGTTCAAGGCCAGGTTGGATGGGGTTCTGAGTGACCTGGTCTAGTGTAAGGTGTTCCTGTCTATGTCAGGGGGCTTGGAACTAGATGAACTTTAATGTCCCTTTCAGCCCAAAGCATTTACAATTTTATGATCAACAAAAATTGGGGAGTGGTGGGAGAGAGACAGAGAAGTCAGCATCAGCATGCTGATCCTCAGAAGTAGAATACTAAATTACATTTTTTATAAAGAACGGCCAAATTACCAGGGAAATCTCTGTATTCTTGAAGAAAATTTAAAACAACGTACAAACTTGCTGGGTGTGGAAATACTTTTGACACATGTTTTGTTTACACAAGAAACATATACTTGCAGGGTATAATAGAAATACTTACTATTCATTCTGAACAACCTGAGGTACTCCAGAAAACAGAGTTAGTTTGCATATTAGTCAAAACCCTTTCCAATTCTTTAGTCTGCTCCTATCTTTCTAATTTGTGGTTTTAAGTTCATTCTCAGACATTAATAAAACACATCCTCAAAAAACACATCCTCAAAAACACATCCTCTACATGTGTAGATGAAATGCAAGAAAACTTACATTTTGGGAGGCAGCTCAGCCTCTTACAGTGATTTCTATGCAACATCAATCTCCCCCATATACTTGAATCAGCTGTTTGATAATGTGTGCAATTTTTTTACCAAAAAACAAAAACTTGGTTGAACATGGAGTTACAATCAAGGTCCTCTTGTAGGAAATGACTGAGCATCAAGATGCACGATGACACTGTCCCTTCCTTTCCTCCCTTCTAATTAATTTTATTTTCAATAACTTTCCAACAAAAACTAACTCTGCCTTTATTTTACAGCATATTCAAATAGTCTCAAAGCATTTTGATCTCGGTGTACATCTTTCCAGGGATCAGTGGACCCACACATCTCTCAAACTGTCAAGGGAGGAGCTCAACCACAGTGTGTGGGTACAGATCAGGTTCTCTGAGCACTGCTAGAGCTCTCCAATTATTTTGTCAATTCTACCTGCAAACATGCTCACTCAGTCATGTTCCATAAACATCTGCACTTTTGCACATGGAAACTAGAACTTAACATGCTAACCTTCAAAAGGTTTTTGTTTTTTTTAAATTCTACTGCAAATGCAAACAAATTCAAGCAGAATAGAAGCTTGAATAGCTAGGCTAGGCAGAATAAATCACATGCTTAGGGGAAAACAGTTAGAAACTGAGTCCCGAGCATATGCTAAAAAATTACTTTGTATAAAATTGGGTATTACTAAGATTAATGTACAGATATAATTTGTTATCCCAGTTTTGGTCCAAAATGAATAATCAGAGACTTCACATAGCACAGACACATCTAAGCATTTCCAGTTCACAGAATTTAAAATATTAAAAAACTTTTTAGTATTAAAAGCAGAAAATAAAGCTCAGTCTCAATGCCAGAACACCAATAAAAAATGTTATCTATGCAGCAGGTTTATAAACAAGTCACAAAATTCACACAATTTGTGACACAAGTCACAAGTTATCAAAGTACAAATAATTTAACATTTAATTACTGCTGTCAGTAGTGCTTTCAAGTAAGTCATATTCCAACAGCTGTGAACAATGCTCCTTACATTTAATAGACTCCATGATTATACTGTAAAGTATACTTTCATATGACCACAATATTTATTTATAGGATAAATTTTGTAAGAATTGCCCTTTGGCAAGTTTGTTGAGAACACCGTAGAAGAAAAAATCTGCAACTAGTAAAAGCTAAAGCCATATGAAGATGTGGAAAGCAGTTATCATCAAAACTGTTTATTAAATATTATAAATATTATAAATATTATAAATATTATAAATATTATCATTCCTGATTATCAAGTAGTGATTTTAAAATCATATAATGTAATGAGAAAATCAAGACTCCAGAAAGAACTGTGACCTGGTGTTTTATATTTACCTTTGGTATTCCAGAAGTATCGAGCCAGTTCTGGAAGATACTTTCTACAGTTAACTCAGACCTTAAAAACAAAAAAAAAGTTAGAATATATGCAAAAAAACCCCAACTTCTTTCATGTGAAAAAAAATCCCTTTAGAAGCTAGGCAAACCCTCTAAATTCAAGTATTAGTTGTACTAAAGTGGTACAACATTCTTCATTTTTTTAATAAATAAAAACATCAGAGGTCATATGAACAAATTAAAGGTAGATCAAGTTCTGTGTACTTAAAACTCAAATAATAAATTTAGTGCTGATAAAGATTGACAGAGAAAGAGTAATGTGGTAAACTACATTTATGATACATGTAAAGTATGAACAGGTGCTCTACTTCTTGTTACATGGATAAACTTTGGATGCACTGATGGATATTCATTCTCAAAGTTACTAAATGTCTAATACACTTTAGTTTTGTCCCTTCTGCACTTTCTTTATATCCTGATTCACAGTGAAATCGTAGAGTAGTCTGGAGCTTCAATAAAAGGAAATAGCTTGTCATGAGGAAGCTGTGTTACACTGAAATAACCACACACATAAGTATTTTTAAACTCAGAAACTATATCTGCACTTTTACTTTTGTAAAAAGTAGGTTAGCTATTGTGCCATTTACTTCAACTCTGGTGGAAGACTTCCCAACTTGCAGGGAAGCCAAATAAAAATAAATTATAAATTAAAAAAAAAAAATCACACATGCAAGTACTGAAAAAAGGAAGTTGAATATAAATATTTTGAAAATCAGAACATATTGTATGGTCCTGTTCATGGTAATACCTTGGCAAGATTCATTCTAATGCTTACAGTTACTTTCACATATGTAATGTAGACTCAACCAACAAAGCATTCATGAAAAGAGCAGCCATTTCCAAGCTCTGCATCAGGAAGGCAAACAACCCAATAGACAACTTAAACTGATCATAAGATTTAAACAATCAGCAGTTAAGAAGGAGCATGTCTACATAGCAAGGATTCTGAATTTTCAGGAAAACACCATTGTGTGTGTTAGATCACTATATAAATCAATTTTCTACAGAAAACTGAACATACATGTGATGCTTGTGTAGTGTTCTACATTAAAAGACTAAACATCTAGACTTGTTCCTTGTTATTTATGCAAAGTTACTAAATTTAGAACATTTGACTGCTAATTTCTCAGACTATAATTATCTTTATTTTACCACTGTTCTCTAAAAATTGGTGTCTAGCCTTCAGTCAGACTAGCTGAGTCCCTTGACTGGGAATAGTGATTAAGAAAAATATTTCCAGTCAGTCAATTTACTTTTCCCAGAAGAAGACAGTCTTGATTTCATATTTCTGTCTGGTTATTAAAAAGGGTGCATACAGAGCTAGCTTAAAACCAGATACCAAAATGTTATATAGGCAAAGGTGCCATTTATTCTGTCTGTCTCAAGAAGCATAAGCAGGATAAATTTTTTGTTATCTGTTATTGTATGAATTAAACCCAGTACAGCTTAGTGTTCTAATGTCGAAGCACAGCTAGGAGCTGGAAAAAATTCTTTTGGTTACACATTTAATTTGTCTTACACAAACACATCCTCACCATGTCAGCTAATCCTTTGCTCCCCCATCCCCAGAAACTAAACCCATAGTGTGAGAAAAAAAATCTCTGCAAAATAAGCTATGTTATATTTGCTATGTAGAACCATTTAATAAATCCTCTATTCCATTTTAAAAACTGGCTTTGAAATGAGCTTATGACACTGAGGGGAATCACACTGTTCTGACACCACATTAATTCAGGCAGAAAACACTACAAAGTTTCTCAGTCTCTCTAAAACTTTGCCATTTTTCTCAAAAGCAAAACCAGTAACACTGCTTTTTCTCTGCCTGCAGTGCCCAAAGTTTCAGAAAAACACCTGTCATATGATCATATACAATCTTCTTTGCTTGTACTTGCACACAAGTACTTTGTTTAATTCCAAATTAGGATATTCTTGTTGGCACCTATCAAAAAAGCAACTTGTTTAAGAGGCATTCACTATTTTTTAAAAAAATGCATTAGTAGTGAGCAGACTATTGCAAAGTTCTACTCTGAATCTCTTAGTTGTCAGCATTGAAGAGCTATGAAGATGTTGGAAATGCTTCTGCTAAATTGTTTGACTTAGAAATAACCCCAAAAAAATTATCACAAACAGGCTGCCATCTCAAAACAAGTGTCCTAGAGAAAGAACAGAGGCTGCAGTTCAGTAAGGGCATTTACCACCTGCTTATGTTGCAGTTAAGCATCTGTAAGGACTTAAATCTGGTGTTTGTGTGAATTCCTGAATGGCCTTCTGGTTAAGGTATTGGACAGTGGGGTCTGTGTTGATTTGACTGGCACTAACTCTTACAAGACCAAGTTTCTTCAATTGCTTTTTACAACTGTTCCCTACTGTAAACTGAGAATTTGGCTACATCCATTATCTCATCCCTTGTCTATTTGTTTAGATGATAAACCAAATCAGTTTAGGACTGATCTAACATCACACATAGAGTTCAGATCCAACATTTTAAAACAAAGTCTGTAACATACTAACATTAATGACAATTTGTAAATTGGCATTATAAAAGATGGCTGTACATGAAGTTTTCACTGCACAAGGCTATAAGGCTTGCACAAGGCTCTTCAAACTTTAACACAAAGCCAGTTAATGCCTAAATCAAGGATAAAAAACATCAAAGTGTGCAACTTCTTTTTTAGGTAAAGGAAGATAGAAAAGACTGCCATACTCAACTGAAAATATGCAAACAAGCGTATCTGCTTCATCATACATTTATATACATCAGTAATTTTCAAAGTAAGCTATTCCAGCTAAATATGGAGGCATAATTGGAGCAAATCAAAACACAAC